CTAGGGCCCCTCAGGGGTGCTCTAGGTACCCTAGAGATGCTTTAGGGCCCCTCAGGGATGCTGTAGGTGCCATAGGAGTGCTATAGGGACGCCAGGCAGCCCATAGGTACTTCTAGGGCTGCTGTAGAGAAGTTCTAAGTACCCCAGGGGTGCTCTAGGGAAGCTCTAAGCACCCCAAAGGTGCTCTAGGGCCCCTCAGGTGTGCTATAGGCACCCCAGGCAGGCTATAGGTGCTTTCAGGGGTGCTATGGGAAAACTTTAGGTACCCCAGCGATGCTCTAGGTCCCGTCAGGTGTGCTACCAGGATGCTCTAGGGCCCCTCAGGGATGCTGTAGGCACCATAGGAGTGCTATAGGCACCCCAGGGATGCTCTAGGGCCCCTAAGGAGTGCTATAGGGACCCCAGGTGGCTTATAGGTCCTTTTAGGTCTGCTGTAGCAAAGCTCTAAGTACCCCAGGGGTGCTCTAGGGAAGCTCTAAGCACCCCAAAGGTGCTCTAGGGCCCCTCGGGGGTGCTCTGGGTGCCCCAGGGGTGCTCTGGCCCCCCTCCAGCCCCATGGCCTCTCTCTGCAGGGCTCTATATGGACCGGCGCTGCGTGTACTACCGGAAGCCGCTGCTGGAGTCGGGCACGTTGGGCACGAAGGGCAACGTGCAGGTGGTGATCCCGTTCCTGAGCGAGTCCTACAGCTCCAGCCAGGACCCCCCCGAGAAGGCCATCCCCATCTGCACCCTCAAGAACTTCCCCAACGCCATCGAGCACACGCTGCAGGTACCCCCCGCCCCATAGAGGGCTTCTAGAGGGGGCTTTGGGGGTGACCCGCCGGGGGTTGGGTGCTGACAGGCCGCCTATAGGGTGTTCTGGGCACGTGGGTTCTTTCTGGAGGGTGTTGGGGGTGTTTGAGTGCTTCCTATGGGGTGCCCCAGATGCCTGCGTCCTTTCTATAGGGTGTCCCTGGTGCCTGGATCCCTTCTATAGGGTGTCCCTGATACCTGGATCCCTTCTATAGGGTGTCCCTGATGCCTGGGTCCCTTCTATAGGGTGCCCCTGATGCCTGGGTCCCTTCTATAGGGTGCCCCTGATACCCGGATCCCTTCTATAGGGTGTCCCTGATACCTGGATCCCTTCTATAGGGTGCCCCTGTTGCTTGGGTCTCTTCTCTAGGGTGCCCCAGATGCCTGGGTCCCTTCTATAGGGTGTCCCTGATACCTGGATCCCTTCTATAGGGTGCCCCTGTTGCTTGGGTCTCTTCTCTAGGGTGCCCCAGATGCCTGGGTCCCTTCTATAGGGTGTCCCTGATACCTGGATCCCTTCTATAGGGTGCCCCTGTTGCCTGGGTC